GGCTAATGCTATGCAACACTCCGACGCCCATGCCATCTTCCCTGAGAGTCCCACTCCTACATGATGAAGGTCCGTGATGAGGCCCTCCGCCGTGGGTTCTCCAGCCGCCGGTACCATCTGATTTTTCCGCAAGACAGCGAGAGCTTCGTCCATGGTCTGAATCTTGTCCACCGCTGCCGTAAAGGTGGCTGTAGCCGGTGTGGACCGCAGTTGCTTGGTAGGCGGTGCGCCTGTCGCTACAGTTGTCGATGTCTTTCTTGTCTGCGAGGCGGTTTGTGGCGATGCTGCCGGTCCTCGCCTGGTAGCGTCCTGGGGCATCCTACTGTCCGTATGTATTGCTGCTGTTTCATGTACGCTATAGGCCGTCGCCCAGAGGGATAACTGACCGCACGACGTAGCCCGCTCCTATTGGCTGACGATCGTGGGAAAGTTGCCGTAGGTGGTGGTACGAGTGAAAGGAGCTCCCCCTAGCCAGCTTTTGAAATCCGAAGAGTGCCATGCAAGGCACTGCGTGTATTTCCTATACTGTATATTTGCGTCCTTGTGGACTCCGCCGTCGGGAAACTCGGCGCCCGGAACCTCGCTATAGTAGTCGAACATTGTCTCGAGCGCCCTTTTCATATGCATATCGGGAGTGTAGTGTGGCAGGTACAGGATACCACAGACTGGTCCACAGTACAAGATGACATAGAGCATAGACTCCATGTCGTCCTGTATTGTGTGTTTCCTGATAGGCTCATCGTACCAGTTGTGAGAGCATGCGGCGCGGACAGGAACTGCCATGTGGCCTAGTAGGCATTGTTAGTAAGTTGTGCCTCATTTAATGAATGCATTATAGTATCGCTTACTGAGACTTGAAATTGTTTAGTATATCCCGAGACGTCCGAGCTCACGGCTAGAGACAGATCCCAATCCACCAAATAGCCTGTCCTTCGATGTTCTCCAGGCTTCTTGTAGAGAATGATGTGCCCTGGGGTTATATCGCCATGAACCCGGTGCTCTGACACAAATGCATCTCGCAACGCTAATCAAGCAGTCATCATCGTCAGTCTTAGCAGTTTCCACAAGACACAATTATCACCTTTGAATGCATCCCATGATGCAGTGAGAAGCTCCGAAGTGCCCTTGCAACGTAAGAGCGTATATCCAGCTATGTCGAGGACTACGCGGCAGTGTATACGTTTCTCGATGAGATGTTTCCGTTTGTTGCCCCCGCAAGCCCAAAGGGCATCCACGTAGTGTTGCGTCTCGGTGACCTGCGCATTATCTATCTCCTGGTTAGCAAACTGTCAGGAAACGATCAGTTGGCTGCTATAATACCTTTATCATAGAAGATTTGCTCTGACGGGTGATCTTTGATGAAGCCAGGCACGTCCTCCTGGTGCAGAACTCTCGGAATATTGGACACTACTCCCTGCATCGACGCCAAGACGTCACCCTCTCGCTCTGACCTCAACTCCTGTAGCGCCCCCTGGCCGATGGCACGGGTTGTGTCGTAACGCCATGTATCCTTCAAAAGCACTATCTTTCCGGTAAGTACGAGAGTCCACTGCCCAGTACGCGCGGGTACCTCGGCCCGCTACAGAAAGTGGAACTGCAATTGGTCGAGAGATGAGTAAATGATGACCTCTCAGGTCAGGAAGTTGGGAGTAGGAGGAGTGGGGTAGGTGGATAACGGAGATGTCACGAACCGCCCCCACGGGGCTACGTTTTCCTTTTCGATTCGGACCACTGCCTTGTACGTTCACCCCTTGTTCTCTATTCGGCGTGGTTTCCCCTTGTTTGCACACGGACAACAGCTCCCCTTGTTTCTCTCTTCGCTATTGTCCTACGGCCTTGTACTCGGTGCCCATGGCAACGCCATTGTCCCCTTAGCGCCCATTGTTCATTCCTCGTATATAGCTGGATCCCTTGCTACCTGGAGACTCTAGTTTCGACCTCTTGTCTCCAGGTAAGCCATCGTGTATTTCGCTCTGTAGATACTTCGCTCAATACACATCTTGTCTCCAGTCCTGCCTGTTGAGCTCCGCTCCAGTCTCACTGCGATCAGAGCTCGTCGGCGCTCCTGCCTGCCTCGCTCGTCTCCACTTACTCGCTCGACAGTCAGTCGTAACATTAGGTCGAAACTACCTCACAGGCACCAGCGCCCTCCCACGTTTAACACTCCGTTTATCACTGTCCCCCCCACTTTCCATCCTGG